TAAAGAGCTCTGGATATTATTAATAATAACCGGCCTGACTCGCACAATAATGGCCGCTTTCATTAGGCGTTTTTAATTAAACGACGCAAATAGAAATGTCTCGTCTCTCGTATAAACTTTTATGCTCGCAAAGCGGCCCCTGGATTTTTTTACGGCGCCCGCTGGATGGAGGGCAGCTTTCGACTCTTTTAACTTTTGCAGGCATAATTATTTTATTACCCAGGTAGGTGTAATTATCGCGAAAGAAAGAAAGGGGAGGGAGCAGTGTGCGCTGTTCTCGTTTAAATAATAATTATATTGTGCCGTCGGCGGTGCTTTTTGCAAAAAAAAAAAAAAAAAAAAAAAAAAAAATGCGAGACCCGCGAGGTCTTTTTATCCCGCGCGCGCTCACACACAGCTTTTTGCCTCCGTCTCTCTCTAATTTGGAATGGCTTTCAGGAGCTATTACGCCGCACACAGGTGCAAGATAGAGACGTGAGAGAGTGTATATGTGTGCGCTCGTGAAAGAGAGAGGCGCAAAAATTACGACTGCCGATTGCCAAAAATTAACCGTTTACGACCGCTTTTATTGTGCAGAGAGTGCAATTAAAAATTTCTCTCACTTACCGAGATACTCCTCTGGCTTCCAGCAACAGTTCCGCCAAAAATCTTGTATTTGCAACAAAGTTAAAAAATATATTTCTTAAAAAAAAATCATATCAAAGATTTCCAAATATTCTTTACTTGATTCTGTTGTTAGTCAAAAGTTGTTGTATTATTTTTAAACATCATCTCCCTTCATCATCAATTTTTTCCTTGCTACATTTTAGTAAAAATTTTGTGTTGTATGATTTTTTAATAAATCTCTGCTTAATTTTTATGGCTATTGCTCTTTCGTATTTTTGTGATTCTATAAAATATCTTGGAAAATTATTAAATTCTCCAGTAAAATTACAAAAATATGTTTGAAGAGTTAAATAAATATTCTGAAACTTACAAATAAACTGAAAATTAAAAATCAGAATGACAGAATACACAACATTGAGACTACCTTTGGATCATAAAAAATTTATAATTTTCCTTCACCAGTCTGCAGTAATTGCACGTTTATTTGCACTCTCCGGCCACAAAGTATGAGCATTGTTCGCAGCGTTAATGAATAGTGGCCGCGAAGCAAATATTTATCCGCGCTAATGAATGCAAAATCATGTCTTCGCATCTCTCTACTTCTGCACACAAACATGCAAAGTGCTTTGTCGCGTTTCCCGCTCGGACACTGCCGACGCCGTGTACGATAATAAAAAAGGAAACGTCGCAAAAACGAGGCGACGAGAGCTGGTGAGACACGAAATGCAGGATGAATTTGATATTTTGCTCATTTGTTTGGCGGAGAGTGTGCAAATAGCGCGACGGCGGCTGAATATCAATGAGTGATGGCTCTACGTCTCTATCTCTCGTCCGCGTCTGCACGCCGAGCCCCATTAAATAAAACCGCATCAGCAGGCAAATTGGCAGAGCCCAAGACAAATTATATCGCCGCCGCTAATCCCATTTGCCAAATGGAAAAAAAGCGACGTCGTCGGCCTTGAACCTGCCAGCAGACGCATGAGCGCAGCGTAATTTTGAGTAGCGCTCATTTGCATGTGCCAATTCGCACAGTGGACTCAATGAGCCCAAATTGTGTTGCGCACACTGTGTGAAATTTGTTAACTGGCAGGCTAGAAAAATTAAATTATGTTTTATTCAAAATTTGTTTTCAGTTGGTTTCAAAAGTTGTAAAAATCTTTAAATTGAGGTATTAAAAATTAACAAATTTACTTACAACATATTTAAAGGTTAATGAAGATTGAATTTAGTTATCATTTTTATTAATTCAAAAGTCTCAATTAATCATAATAAATAAATAATTTTTAATTTTAAAATATTTCTTACGAAATCAATTTTTTTCCTTCTTTCTTCTATTCCATTACTGATTTTGAGATGAATTTAGTCCGTTGAAGCTAACTTTAAAATAGATTTTTCTGTTCATATTTATATTCTCTGCGATTATGATCTTCTAATTATACAATCTATTAAATCAGTTGATTCACTAGATTTTGCAAGTATTTTGATTTTGTTTCAAATATGACCAACAAGAAGAAAAAAGATAAATATGGTTAGTCAAATGAAAATGGGAATAACTTGATATCTCCCTATTCCCTTTTTGGGAGCGGCAAATTTTCTGGTCCGGGACGTCCACTGGTACACACACGACTTTTGGTCCGTGTTCTCATTAGCATGTTCGCAGCCTGACGGTCGTGATATAGAATTCCCTGGTCGGTCGTGTTGGAAGAAAAAGTGTCACGCTAGTTGGAACATATATTTCAGGACGTGCTGCAGCAGCGGCCGCTATATAAGGTAGCGGCTTATTATTCACATATCTAATATCTCTTAACAACACAAGAAGTAGAGAGAGACCATTATAAGAACATCATCTCTAACAAAGTACGGGCGGAATAAAAAAACTGACTCTGTCCTAAGCTGCTGCCGAGTGAGAGAAATTTAAATTGGTTCTCGTGTTGCCTGAATTTATAATACCGGGCAACATATTTTGTTTGTAAGGAGCAGCGAAAAAGATAAAAAGAGCAGACCAAAGCGGTGGCGCTCGATCTTTTATTCCATTCACACATAAATTTCGGCCGCGTCCTTTGAAAGGCAGCTCAGTGGGGATACAAACGGAATAGTATATGCGGCTCACATCTGAAAGTTTGGGCCATAAAAAACTTCGACGTTTGACTAACAACAATGGAGGGAATTTGCCACTGCTCTCTTTCCTCACGAAATCTGACTTGATGACAAACGGCAAGAGGCACTTCTTTGGATTATGCGTTCTTCCTTATTTCTGATGAAAATATTGGAAAATGTGCTCAAAGTTTTTGGTATATCTAGTATATTCCAGACCAGACGTATGTTTTTTGGGTTTGCACTTCTGCATATATGCACTGGCTGGTTGCTTCCGGTTTTTACCAGTTAATTTAGCTGGTTTTTCTTGTCACTATATGGCTCTTAGTGGGCGTTTTTCTTAAAGCTGATTTCTGCTTCCTTACTTTTTTATTGCCATGATGCAGTTTCTGTGTGCTTTGTGCTCCCTCAAAATAATGTGTTTTAATTGTGCATCGGTGAATTTGTTGCGTTTTTCTTGTGTTTGATAGTAAATTATTTGCAATTCTTTTCGTCCGTAACCACATAAATGGGGCTGTTAGTGGGTATGTTTCTTACAGCTGCTTCTTCATTTCGTGTTACTGTATTTTTCTGTTGTATCAAGAAGTGTTTTATTGTGTTTTTTGCGTTTTTTCTGTTGGTGAGTTATACATTTTACGTTTTGGTTATTTTTATGCAAAAATTTATTGTTTAAAAAATTAATATGGCAAAAAATTTCAAACAATGATTTTTTTCTTTAAACTTTATATTTACTATAACATATCAGGAGGTTAAAATGAGTAGTTTTAACTGTAAATAAGAAAAAAAGAATATTAGCAATTATAAAATTTGATTTTTTTTTCCCAAAAGATGTTGAAATTGATTTTGAATCTTTTCCGAAAAGCATTTTAAGAAAATTTATGTGTTTACTTCTTTTCAATTTTTGTATTTTCTTTTCATTCACATTTTTTGCATATTTCTCTTGTTTATCTCACATCGGGCATAGATTGCCTTGTGGTACACCAATAATATTTATTTGCAACCAGAAAAATGAGTGTATTCAGATCTGTAATGAAATAATGAAGTTTTTTCATAATTTTTCTAAAAAAACGCTTTTATTAATTTAGCATTATTTTCTAATTTTCTATATTAAAATATAAAGTTCATAATTTCCTTCCTTGTTAATTGCAACATAATTTTATACCAGAGATGAACCTTCAACTTGGTGGAAATAATTCTGAGCTAATTTTCTATAGCAGGGGCCCATTTCATAATCATAACAGTGCATATCTTCTAAATCACATTTGGAGTGACACTTGTCCAAAAAAAGAACACGACTTCCTTTCCGGTAACTTTCTAATGGCATAATCTGCATCTCGGAGGCGTGAGCAACAAGGCCCTTGTCATCTCTAATTCTCCGTTATTACCGCGTCGAGCGCAGTTCCAAATCTCACCGGCATTTATACGATTATTACATTGTGGCCACTTTTTATCTCCATCCCGCGTGTGTGCATAATAGCATCTTTAAAAAGAGTCGATTGACGCCTACCGCTGGTGATTTGAATAAATAAAATATTTCTCGGCTGATGCATCGCGGCCGCGAAAGGCGATACACGCGGACGTGCTGCTTAAATATTCCGCTCTTTTCAATTGGAGCCGCGGCTTTGTTTGTTTAGTGACGGAGCTCGGCTGGGAAATAATTTATCCGCCTGTAAAATGTGTGGTCCAAAAAGCCATAAATTCGGACCGCACGGCCATTAATTATTGGATTAAACGGGGGCGCAAGAAGACTGAACGGGCCGACCGGGATTAAACATGGAGCAACAGATTGTTACAAGAACTATAAATCCGAATATGGCGCATAATGCCTTCTTAATTGAATTCGATTCATGAGGCGCTTTTTCACATCCAACAACCTTTCAAAAAGGTTACTTATCCCTTCACAAATCAGTCAAAATTCATCAATTCTTTTATTCAATAGTTTTCTTTTCAAATATGATTAATGAAAGCGCAGCCGCACACAATTCACAAATAATTTGACCATATAATTGAAATAATTTCATCAAAAAAGAAACGCAAGACTTTTCCCATGCATCATTTCTCTTCAAATGTATTATCTCTTACAAATGTTACTAATTTATTAGTAACTAATTATTAATTAACATAAATATATAATAGATTTTAAAAAAATGTAGAATAAACCGGAATAAACGATTTAAGAATATTTATCTTACAAACATTTTATTTAATTGTTTTTACATGAATAATATGTCCTCATATTTTTTTTCTTCCAAGTGTTAGCAAAATTTTAATAAAATGCATTTTTCTTTGATTGATTGCAGTGGGCGATGGTGGCGGAGGGTGGACAGCCGAGGGTTGTTCAACGGTGACAGGCGATACTCTGGCCCACGGAGATCACTGGTGGAGCGAAGACCGGTGCATGGACTGTCACTGCAAACACGGCCAGCTCGAGTGCAGTGCGGCAGCGTGCGCTTCTTGCATCAATCCTCATTACCTACCTGGAGCCTGCTGCCCTACTTGCGATGGTGAGCTTACTAATTTAATTTTTTCTCACAACACCCACGAATAAAAAAAAAAAAATAAAAAAATGGAAAAAATAGACAAAAATTAGGTCAAGTGGTGGAATGCACGTTTACTGGCAACAAAATTATTTAGCGATTAACTAAGGCTGCAATATCAGTTGTTGAGGTTTTTATCATTGTTTTATGTATTTTTACAATTGTTGCCATCTTTCCATATCGGTTATTGACTGAGGAAATATATATAAATACAACTGCAAAAAATGACCTAAAATCTTCTGTTCTCTTTGATTTTTTTTTTTTGCTTCTCAAAATAATGCACATTAAATCCAAAACCTCTTATTACAAACCCCTTGATTACATTTGGACCACGCTTGTGTATCGCAAATTACAAACTTCATTAAAACAGTTTTCTGCCTCGCGTTACACTTTATTGGCTGAGCTTAAGAAAGCCATCAATCTCGTGCGCACAGCTTTTTCCTCCTTGTAAACATCATCATTAACTTTTAATATCGCCAGACAGAATTTAATTTTAATAATAGAGCGCGCGCATCTGGCTCTCGATCGCATTCTGCTTGCACCATTTCGGCTCAGCCTTTTAATTAGCCGAGAGCTGATCCTTGGGGAGAAATAATCGTGGGCTACTTTGCTCGAAATGATTTACAGCAGGTGTGTGTTTGTGCAACACCAGAATTCTTGTAAAGCTAAATATAGATTGCTTAAAAATTTTAATTTATTATTTGGAGGCAAAGCTGAAAAATATTAAAAAAAAAATCTTGTAACATAATTCCTGCGATATGTTATATTTTTTGAGCTGGTTTTCACAGAGCAAGTTACATAATATTATTTACTTTGAACCTGTTTCACTACTTTCAACGATATTCATTATTTTGAGATGTAATAATTATGCAATTTTATGAATTTATTGAAACATCCTTTGCCAGCAAAATATACAAAAAATGAACCATGCGGTTCGACGTCCTCACTTTTCATTGTTATCACGCACCATCGTGAGTGTGAAAAGCCCTCGAGGTGCTAATCCGATGAAAATGATTCATTCTATTTTACCATTGTTTAAATTATATGTTGTGTTCTGGCCTTACTCACATATAAATCAATTTGGCCCTTTCAACTACAGCATTTGGTGTTTTGAAAGCAGCTGGCAAGTTGTTTATCAAAGCGATTTGCATTCAGGGCTCTATCCTTTGTTAGCCTTGTATTTTTTTTAAATACAAAAATTAGTCTTACCTCCATTTTTTTTCACTCGCTCTATTTAAAATTATAACAAATCTACGGGAGCTGACCTCGTATCGTTTTAATTACTCGCCATCTAATGAAAATGTCAAGTTAAATCTCTCAAACGTGCGAATTACTTACTCGCTGCAAAGAGCGTGAGCGGAATTTTCATACCTTGCGTTCTCAGTTCAGTGCTGGCTCCGCCAAGGCGATAATGAGTTTTATGGCAGGATGAAGTCGCCTGAAGTTTCCTGTTTGCGAGAGGAGCATTATTATTAGAAGAGCAAACCACATGATGCAAAGTGCAAGCTTCAATATTTTGACTCTTGGGTATGTCTACGCCAGTGTTCCTGTCTCTGAAGTGCATAATTCCGCATGTCAGGCACGGACTGGCTTGAAGAAAAATCAACTTCTTCGTTAAATTTTTATGATAAATCAGAATATTAGATAATAGAACAAGCTTGAAGCTATAGTACCTTTATTTGATTGAATCATTAATTCCAGAACATTCGCGATATGAATAATAATTTAATATACGTAAATTGTGATTTAAAAAAGTCGGCCTCCAATCCGTGCTTTACGTTCACCTCCGCGAATCTCTCTGTGCTAATTTCCATCATAAATCCATCACGTGCCTCACCTCCTCCTAATTAATTTATGGCCCCATTGAAATTAGAGACGCCACACTCACACATGGGGGCTAAACAAACACCGAAGGTCACGGCTCGAAATTGAACCTGGCTCTCTTTCGACAAACACAGCTGGTCCTTCAGATTGTTGCGCTATGTTTAGGAGCTGCTTTTCATTTCATTAATCATTCATTTTAAAGATTTTATTTATTTAAAAATAAAATGTCACTTACCTAGAATACAGCAGGAAAGTAATAATAATTCAAATAGAGATCTCATAAGACTAGAATAGGTTGTAGAAATTCTTTTCTCTTTTCTCTGTGTAATATTTTCGTGTGGGTTGAAAGTCGAAGAATCAATAATCTTGCTACATTTGCAATCATTTCAAGGGGCTTTAAAGTATGCGCTACTTTGATTTACGGCGAGACACTCGAGATAGGATTCGAAGGCATGGAAACAGCGATGAGAGACATTATTTTCGCCCTAGAGGCCAAAAAAGCGGCATCCGTGCCATTTCACCATTTGTCATTCACAATTTGCAAGCAGGACAGGTGTCTTTTTTTCACTCCCTTTCCGTTGTCAAGCTTCGAGCGGCGACGAGCAAAAAAAAGAGTAAAAAAAAACGAGAGAAAAGGTCAAAATAAAAGAGCAGAGAGACTGCCAGTGTGCTCCGTGCTATCGCATGAAATAAGAATCGAGTGTGTTTGTAAAAGGAAGGAGCACTCGGTGCTTGCAGCAGTGACTGCGCGTCGTGGGCAAATGGCCAGAATTTAGCACTGACCTAGCAATCTGCCGTTCCATCTATTTACCCAGGAGCTGGGAGCGAGAACCTCAAACTGCGTCTGTGTCTAACTTGTGTTTTTAAGAAGAGGAAATACTTCACCATAAAACGATTCATATTTCATATGAATAATTTGTCAAAAATGCATACAAAAAAATTTATTTTGACAAATTGAAAGTAGAAGAAATGATTTCTTTTAAGTTTAGAATGATATAGAATAATTTTAATACTATAGAAAACTATGTTAATTGTTAAAAGTCATATTTTAACACAAATTTAATTCAAAATGAAATTTTTTTAAAGCTTTATTTGGTTAAAAATTTGTGAGGGTTTAAAACTTTGTCGCCTGTACAATGCTCTCTTTATCTCTCTTTCTTCTTCTTGCCAACATTGAATCGCAGCAGGTTCTTTGAACTCTCGCCGCGTCGGCTGAAATTGATTATCAAACACATTCCTCGTTGACGACAAACGCAAATTAAAATTATGTAAACCAGCAATTACTCGTCGACAAGCATCATTAAGCAAGAGAGGAGAAATCTTCTCGCCACGATAAATTTCATTTGGGCACATTCAAGAGTGACCTGGCTTGCAATTTAAATAAATGGCCGTCGTGGTGTGGCAACCCTCTGGCCCTTGTCAACCGGCCAAATCAACAAACGCGCGCGAGTCCTTTATACGCAATTCACCGGCGCTGCTGAAAGAAACAAGATAAAACACAGTATAAATATATTGTGTGTTTGCGCCCGTCGGGCGAGGAATGCACAACACTTGCTCGGCAAACACTGTAAATAAGCAAGTTTCGCGCACTGAGGTAACCGCGAAATTATTTCGCTGGCATCATTACAACATCGTTGTTGGTTTGCACAAACCATGGACAAAGTGCTTGTTCTAAAGTAATTTTACTGAAATTTAAGATGAAGATAATTAATTTAAAATCGGATTATCCTGCGGGTTTGTAGAATTAGTTTAACGTTTTAATAATTTAAGCAAGAAAAAAATCATCTGATCAAGGAAAAGCAAACTATAAATTATATTCATTATATTCATGTGCTGAGTGAGCACTAGTAAATGCGATAAACTAACTTCATGTGAATTTTTTTAACAATAAGAATAATATATTATTTTAATAATCAATATAATAATGATTAATTAAAGCTAGGGACTCTACTATTCAATGTTGCAATTCTAAAATACTGAACCGTCGATGAAAAGTAGTTATATATATATAATAAATAATGGTTTGGTTTCTGATAGAATCCTCTGGTATATAAATATTTTTTGTTATTAGTTTATACATTTTGTGTTTTTAAGTTTCTTATCTAAAGTAAAATTTTATGAATGTTTGTAACCTTTTTTTACTTATTGTATTTTAAAATATAAAACACGTTGAATAAAATATTAACTCTATACAGAATAAATAGTTAAAAATATATTATGAAAATATTCATTATTATACAACTGAATAATATGTTATTACTTTCATCTAAACACATAGGATGTTTAATGTTTTAATAAAAGACAGACCACCCATTGATTTTTAATCCAAGAAAGGAAACACTCCCCTGACATTCTTAATTCTAAATAGAAAATAATTATCAAAGAACTACTTCGCACTTTCAGGGGTTGAATTGCAATACAGCACGTCAGACCACAATTTGAGAAATGTTGGCAATAGCTAGTGGCTAATCAATTGTGGTCTGACGTGCTGTATTGCAATTCAACCCCTGAAAGTTCGAAGTAGTTCTTTGGGCATTATTTTCTTTTTTGAACACATTAATTTGCAATACATTTTACTTTATGGTAGTCCCGCTCATCATGCATGATTTATTCCCTTTACTTCCATTTTGCTGCTTGGAGAGTCCAAATATTTTTATTGTGATGCAATTATTGTGGAAAACAAACACAAAAGCCTTTTTGCTTTTATTTGCTGCTGATCGGATGCCAAGTAAATTTCGACATCGCTTCTTACTCACCGCGCCCATTCGTGTGTTCAGCAAGTAATGTGACTTTTTTATTATTTCAACTTGTCTTGTTGCAGACTCGGACATCCACTTGCCGCACTGCAAGTTGCTAGAAGGGTGCTCGTTGAAATGCAAACACGGCCTAAAGAAGGATGGCCAAGGGTGCTTCTCTTGCGAGTGCCACAAAATTGACGGTAAGTTTTGAAAACTTTAGTTACCAAAACTTTGATCCGCTCTGACCGAGCTAGGCAGAATTTAAAATGCCACAAATTTAAAAATAGCAGGATGAAGTTCACACAAAATTCGATCTAAACGGTAAAGAAAAAAAATTAATTTAATTCGAAACTTTTCATTGTATTTGATAAAATTGTTATAATCTAATCCACATGAAAGCTATTCAGCTTTACATTATGAAATTCATTCATTAGCTTTTAATGTTGTTGCGTGCAGTCAATATTATGTTGTATTTAAAATGCCTGGTAAGCCGGGCACGTTCATTATCTAACCACTCTTGACAATAAAATTACACAGTCTGTGGGCGAAAACGACAACAAAGAAGACGATGAGCGTGAAAACGATTCTGAAAACAATTACGAGAAACCCACGTGCCATGCATGCATGTGTGTTGGTGCGATGCTGTGACAGAAAGGGGTAATTAAATCGGCGTGAAGCTACGCGTGAAAAGATGAGAAATCGCGATTATTAAAAACATAGTGGCTGCGCTCGAGATGAAGGAGCGTCGAGGGGCGTTTTTTTTCTCTCTCTTTCTGCCGCGTGTGAAGGTCTTAATACTACGAAGAGAGATTGATGCTCTCCCAAAGAGACAAAATAATGCAGCGTGGGCGTCCATTCACTTCATGCTGGAATGCCGAAGGTGTGGAGTTGCGAAAAAGGTGCTTAAAAGGAAACGTTGCAAATCTGTAAATGGAAAGGACGCACGACGGATCTGTTACACACAATGCCCATGTAATTTAGCCTGTCTTATTAAAGTGTAAAATTTATTAGGGCCGGGACGCGAAAAGATTTTGGCCTTGCTTTTTTTTAAATATATAATTGAAAGCAATTTTTATATAAACTTTGCACGGACTATTAAACTGTTTAAGTTCTCTCTAAAATGTTAATTATTGCTTGATTTTTTTCTCATCATTTTGCAAACGTGTTAATAACAGAGAGTTGGAGATAATTGTCGAAAATTATTGCAGCTTTTAGCTCTTGACGCTATCTATTTGAAATATACGGCCGGTTATTTCGGCAATAATTATAGCACACTCCACTCCTAAGCGGATCACCAATCCTTTTTTCATCTGCACCGCGCGAGCCGATATCGGAAAGCAGATCTGCAATAAATTAGACTCCCAACTTTTGCCAATAAATTATAATAAAAGAATCGAATAGGAGATAGCGGCGTGAAGCAATTTCTGAAATCTGTGAAAAATTGCCGTTATCAGCCGATAATTTGCGAGATAATTGAAAATTACAGACTCGGTGGGCGCAAATTGATTCGTGCGGATCACACGTTGTTCTTCAAGAATCGAATTTAATATTATGCGAGCCAAATTGATGGCGGACGCACGTCTTGTGCCAAAGAAGGAGCTAAGGAGACGATCGCATGCCGAGATTATTCAATGTCCCGAGACGGACGCTCTCGGGCCGTCCGCAATCACTCGTCGCTCAATGGGCCAAAGCTATTTTAATTGCCTCGTTATTTATAAACAAACGCGCCCATGAGACTGCTTTTCTGCACCTACGCAGCCGGCACTCGAGTGAAACGAACGCTCGCGCATCCATAATATGGACGCGATCATTTCAAGTACCGGCTTTTTAAGTGGATAAATAGGAGCCAACACAGCGTTTCCGGTTTTGGAGGAATTTGAGCCAGACATAAATCATGTCCAAATATAGCATTCAATATACAGGGTTTCAATCATGTTAATGCTGTAATTGTACCAAAATTATTGTCTCGATTCAAGATTTTATCAGCACGAGATGATTTTGCAGCATTAAATTATCGAGGAAAATATTATGAAAGCAGAAGATTTTATTTATGTGTAAATTTTTATTTTTTCTCTCTCACAATCAGTTTTCTCTTATAAACGAATCATCTCTAACATGGCAAGCAGGTGTACAAAGTCGCACCCTTTTTTGAATTGCACTTAGTACTTGATTCAATTCCTTTTTGCGATACATAACATTAATTTATTTCCAGCACATTTATTTTAAAATTTATAATACTTGCCGCGCTTTGAACAAGAAATATCAATGAAATTATTTTCATTTCACATGTAGCACTTAGTATTATATTTTTATTCAATTCAGTCCATCCGTGTAGACATCTCCAGTCTATACATATTTTATTACAACGCTGCAGCAGCAAAGAAACGAGCAAAGTGCTTGAATGAAATGTAATCCCTCCACGGTCATCATGTACGCAATAAATAAAGTGGCCTGCCGGTCGCTCTGGCTGCAAGAAAGTGAAAAGTGTCTTGCACGCAACAGCACCAGGGGATATCATTTTTCTGCCCTGCTCGACGCTTAGTTTGTCCGTTCGCTGTCTCGTTGTCTTAGTTTATTTTTATTTCGTCAACTTGCTTAAACGCCGATGTAATTATTCAAGCATATTATACGCCTCTAGAATTTCTCTCGTCAATTTCGCAGCGGGCTAATGATAATATATTGCCGTTTGCAACCCGACACCAAATATTTGAGCAAATTTGAGCACCACTGACCTTTTGCCAACGTTTTGATACACGTGCTTTAATCCAGTTTTTTTTTTCTTTAAAAATATAAAAGTAGGCGCTAAAATGTTTTTGGCTTTCACTAGAGTATTATGCATTATTTTCTGTATAATTTAGTTCTCTTTTATGCTTTAAAAAATGTAGCTGTTTTTTACAACGATTGATCTTCCAAAAGTACTTACTTTTTCTTTAGTGCAATCACTCATTTCATAATGAGGTTGACTAGTACAATCAATTCCAATTATTTAATAAAAGCCTTCGTATTCTTAAAATTATAATTTTATACCAAATTTACAATATTTGGCCTGCCTAGGTGTAAATATTTAAAAAATGTGAATAACATATTTAATTTGAAAAAAACGTGTCCAATCTAATATCTGTTGATAAATGAAACAAATTAAAAAAATCTAACTATAACAATTTTACTAAAACTTGTTATAAAGGAAAATAAAAAAATATCAAAAATATATTTACTAATTGTTATTAATTTTTAATATCAATCTTTATTTTTTTATTTGGAAACAATACAAAATATTTAAAAAAATGTTATCTTATTATGCCTTAACAGCTTTTAAAAATTACGACTCATTTCTTATTCCTCGCGACGCTCAGAGGCGATTTCTCAATCACCTGCCTCAAATCTTAATGAAAGTCTCGTGGTTGCACTCGATTAATTCCCACTCTGCTCTCTGCACAGCGGGGTCGGCGAAATTTATTGCACCCTAAATTAAAGGTTAAACTAACAGAATCGGTCTCTGTGAGTCACGTCGCGCTTTCGCATTCCCCGCGCGGGTAAATCAGAGCACATAAAGTTTGAAGAGGTTGAATTTGTGTGTGGCGCCTTTGAGAAGGCGGCGCGGTTGGGAAAAGAAGTCGCGTCAAGTGCTTTCGGGGTCTATCACTCACTGAGTCATGCGCGCACTTGGCGGTGCGTTTATTTGAACAACGCTCGGCTCGCGGATCATCCTTCGCCGATCTCTTGATGCTCGCCGTGATGAGGCGCCAAACCCAAAGAGAGAGAAAAAAACCAAGCATATGAATCTTGTTTGTGTATCTGGGCTGCCTAATTGCGTCATCCATCAGTTTTTTTAGATGACAGTCCTACGATTTACATTAATTTTAGTTTATTTTCTTTTATAGTGAAAATATAAATTATGGCATTGAAGCTGGAAAAGAAAATTAACAAAGTTGTTGGGGGAGTAAATTTGTATTACAAGCCGTTACTAGCAATATAAAACTTGTAAAACTTATCTTTCAAAGAGAATGTACAAAAGTGTACTATGCAACTTGCTTGACTCAATAGTTGATCAGGTTGCATAATTTTTGTCACTTATAGCAAATTCAATAATATATTTTTATCACAGAAAATATATGCTTCACTTCCAACTTGCAAACTTTTTTAAAAAAAAAATTACTACAATTAATTTTGCGTTTCGTCCACCGTTTATGAAGTTAAATTTTCTAATTATAAATTTTGGAAATTAAGAGAACAACAATGAGGGCGTGTCTGGTTGTTAGACTAATGACCATAGAATAAATTGAGACTGGGTCTTTATTTTATTGGGTCGCTGTAATAATTTATTTACTCTTCCGTGCTCCAAGCCATTAATTTTGATTTAAGCAAGAGAGCAGAAAAGAAATGAAGAAAATAAAGAGACGGCTTCAAGAAGGATGAAACGTTTTCTCCCGTCTTGGTTCGCCCAGCGTCATTACGCATTCATCGTCAGCCTTGCCATTGACCTAAACCTTTGGAGCGTGAAATTTCAAATGCGGGCCGGTCGGGTGCAATAACAATAATACGAGATTATATGAAAAGGGTGCCAGCCCGAATGAGAGTCTCTTGGATGGAGAAGCGAGCAAGTCGCGCATAATTTATCCCCTCCTAAATGCTCCAAATTATGTCGGGGCCGAGACTTTTTTCCTGATGAATTGCTTTCGTGACTGGACGAATTGTCTTTTTGAGAGCACGATTTTAACAAGGCGCCTCCCGCTGCTCTGAATTTATTTACACTTACAACAGCGATTCATCATCGTTCTGGCAGTTCTGGAATGTTTGTATAATTTCGCCAGCGAAACTTTTTCGTGTATTTTGCCTCGTTCTAGTTTGGTCTCGACTCAAACAAGGCGTGCTGGGAAAATTAGATAATTATCTGTGAGCAGACTTAAGCAGCACTTTGAAGTGATAAATTGAGTGAGAAACGAGAGTCCATTAGTCATTTAATATAACAGCTAAATACAGTTGTCTGCACGACACACATAAGGAGAAATAATGCAGCGCTCGAAAAATCTCTTATCTGAAAGTTTGGAGCGTGATGTAATGTTATTAAGAAAACGACATGCGTCTGACACCCGAAGTGAGAGAGTTATAAAAAATCCTAAAAGAGCGGCGGCACCAATAAAGGGCCATTAATTGATGGGAGGGAGCCGCACAGGCGCTTCTCATCACTGTGAATGGAAAATTCAATGTGTGCGTTAATTAATCTCCGCTTCCTTTCGTTGCAGACGACGAGTGCCCCCTGGTGTGTCCTGACACTGGGTACGTCCACGACGCGTCCGGCAACCAGATGTGTGAATGCGTCAATCACACGCTCTCATCCACCCCCGCACCAGTGCATCCAAGCCTTGGACCCAGACCGTGTGCAGGTATGTCAAAAGAAATTCACAGGTTTCCAAATAAATGGAAAGTATTGAATCAAATTTATCATTCCTCAAAAAATAGAATGGTTTATAAAGTTTTATCTGATTTCTGGTATGATTGCAATAGTTACCAGAACTAACTTGATTTGATTTTGTGAGATTTGATTGTGAGATGGATAAAAAAAAGTTTGAAATGTAATTATTGAAAAACGGAATATAATTAAAAAAAGCAAGTGATTTTTTCCTATGTGGTGTAAAAATAGCTTTTGATATATTTTTTTTATTTCATTTTTATTATTTGCGAAGATCTAATAATAATTGTCAGATAATAAAATGCTAATGTGGAATAGCTATCCAATAAAATTTAAAAATAATTCAAGAGCACAAAAAGGCCCAAAATTTAGAAATAATATGAAAATAAATGCGATATCACAGTACAAAAGTGACTGGACTTCTTGCATTTAAAATTTGTCAAAAAGAAAACTAACATCAATTGTTGTTACCTCTGAAGCTAGTCTACTATTGAGAATTTGAGAGGCAGAATATATATTAGTAGCATTCTTCATACAGCTCGCAAACGAAATTTTTGGGAAGAGTTCCGCCCACAATGCACAATATTTTGTTCAATTCACCGGCACTTGCAAAATAGACGTGTGGGCAAGTGTTATGATCAATTTGGCCATGCGTTTTCCACAATGTGTCATTTAAGTGAAATGGTGTTCCATCATGCCAACGATAATCATGATGCGTGATGTTTCCATAGTCCTTTGCTGACAACCACCATCTTTCATAATCTGAAAAAATTCCAAATAATTTATTCGAGACTTAAAATTTTAATCAAATATTCGTTTTACGATTTATAAACGACTTAGTTTTCATCCGAAGTGCATATAAATCCTCCAAATTTTTTGCAGTGGCCAAGTGAAGGCCTCTCTTCTCACAATACAAGTAAGCGTCGTCCCATGTCATCTGTAATTTCAAGAGAGATTTTTAATGCACAACGAAGTGCGCACATGATTGAATATTAAAAAGCCTGTTACCTTTGTTTGGTTGTAAAATAAGTATTTTTTTCCATTAGAGGCTGTTGTCAATTTCATTAAACCTAACAAATACATGGAAATTAATTTTCATAAAATTATAAGATTATAAGATTAAAAAAATCCTCCACTTACTTGCACGAAGACATCTCATGAAGGTTTTTAACTGAAAAAATTAATTGTGTGAGAAAGTGTTTGCAAAATCTATTCCCATTTCCAAACCTCGTTGAACTGATTTTCAGGGATTTTTCTGTCTTCTTGGATCTCCTTGTTACTGTCAATTAACCTTTGGAGTATTTCATTTGTTTCATTTGAATGTTCCAGTTCCACCTTCAGAAAAAAATTATTCGTAACAAGTAGTATTATTTGTTTGACATGAAACTACTGGCTTTTTCAAAATTTATTTCTTCACCTCTTTTGCGTTCAAGTTAGTTGAATTTTTGATGTTGCAGAGAAGCACAAAAGCGGTGGTGATTGCAATGATAATTAACAAGTATCGGCAGCAAAAATCGCTCTGAATAATGGATTTCCCTGGTATTTCAAAGCGCTCACAAGTTTCGACCTTCTCCTTCATTCTGCAGTCGACTGTTCAGAACTGTGGGAATAACTCGCAAAGATTATTGGTGAAGCCGACTAAAACATCCAGCTTGACAAACTTGTGGCCAAAAATGATTAAGAAAGTAGGCGTATATACAGGATACAGGAAACTTTGCGATGTTGATAAAAGTATCTCAAATTTCTTCGTATCTGTATGAAATTTCCCCAAGTTGCAGCAGCAAGGATATTGACATATTGACTTTTTGAACTATATCCACACTTTGTTTACAGATTTATATATAAAAAAAAATATATAATTAATATTACATTTTCTGCTCTCATGATCATATTTAAAAAAAATCATAGCTATAGTTATTATTATTTATTGGTTAAAAAATTTATCATGGCTAATATGTTTGGTCCAATTGTTCAATCTCATCCTTAAACGATGTAACGTTTTGAAATTTGCACACGAGAAGATAAACCGTGGGCTAAAAATAAAAATACTGAAACAACATGAGCGCTGCTTTTGGCTCCCTTTTGTCCGCTGAGCAGATTTGTCCGCTGGATTACGTGGGCTTATTCAAATAACTGCGATCCACCTGCTGCAAACACCTGCCAGGCGGCCCGCGGTGAAAAAATAATCCTCGACAAGCCGGCCCGCGATGAAAGATAAATAATTTAAAAAGCGATAATACCTCCTATTGTCTTTCGCTCTAGCTGGGAGGATCGCGCGCTTTATTATTTATTCGTCCGTTTTTGAAAGTAACGCTCCTGCCGATAAATCAATGGTAACGACTGATAAGACCGATTCACAGCCTCGAGCGCCGTGAATCGGGCTTTTTAATCTGGCATTGTGTGCCGCAGCGACCAAACCGTGCTTCTTCTACTGACAATCTGGCACCCCATGTTTCAGACGGTCTCTTGCTGCGTCACGACGGCGAACTTTGGAACGACGGGTGCAGAGAGTGTGTGTGCAGAAACGGTGCCCATTTGTGCTCCCTCCTTGGCTGTCCAAGGTGTCCGGGAGCGTCCTATTCACTTCCTGGGGAATGCTGTCCTAGATGCAACGGTGAGGAAAACTAAAATTAACCAAAATCAAAAGAAAAACGCATAAATATTAATTAATTTCATTTTTCGTAGTAAATTCTCTTTTTAAAATATTAAAAAATAAAATATTTAAATATTACGTATTGTGATAATTGAAGATTAGGATATAATGGACAATTAGGTGACCATCTATTTCAATTCTCTTCAATTGGCCGCGATTTTCAAAAAAAAAAAAAAAAATTAAAAAGCTCGCTTCTTTCTATTTTTTTTTTTTTACAACTTGTTACAAACTTAAATACAATTTATCATTACAAGAATTAAGTATTCCATAAGTTTCGCATTCATTTTTCCTTTGAAAACTTTAAAATACTCCATCAAATTTTCACCTATTCCAACAAAATCTCCTTTTTTATCAAGTTTAGATGAGGCGTTCTGTGCCACCAAGTAAAAGAACAAATGAAAATATTTTATTGTACGCAGTTGGGTGTTTTACGATGTCAAAAATAAATAATTAAATTGAAAAAAATATTTTATTATTATTAATCTTTTTAATGGAAATTTGAATCAATTAATAGTTGTGCAATTTTTTTATATTTTAAAATTTATATTGCATTAATTCAAGGAAGTGAAAATAAAAATATGAAAATAAATTTTGTATGGTTTGTATTTAAAATTAAGTTTAATGCTTTGCAATATATGCTTTAAACAAAATTTAAACTTCCTGATTTGAATTATCAAAATATGTTTTAACTAAAATTGGGTTTATGTTTCCTTTGCAGGCAGTTCCTCTGAGGGTCCTGCCGCATGCCAGAGTGCGGACGGCGCCGTGTATCCGGTGGGCGAGCGCTGGAAACTGGACCAGTGCGTCTCGTGCGAGTGTGGCGAAGGCGGGCAAGTGCTGTGCGGCCAGGAGCCGTGTCCGCCGGCCGCCTGCGACTTTCCACTGCCCCTGGTGGACGGTTGCTGTCCGCGCTGTCCGACGGTGACCCACCGGCCACCACCTGGCGCCGAGGCGTGTCCCGCGCACCGCACAGAGGGCGAGTCGTGGCGAGACGGCGCCTGCTCGTCCTGTGTCTGCGTCAAGGGCCAGATGGTGTGCTACGAGCAGAAGTGCCCGCCGCCTGCGTGTCCCTTTCCCGTCTCCATCAGTGGACGATGTTGTCCTGTTTGCACTAGTACGTAATTTTAAAATACTGATTTTTTATCTATTTTATTTATCTTATTTAATATTGAATAATATTGATGTATAATATCAAATTATTAATTAAATATTTTATATACTTAATTAATTTCACGAAATTAAATATTTCCTTAATTTACTAATATTCAGAAATATTTTGATTCAACAAAAATAATTTCTTTTCTTCATTTAAAAATCTACAATTATTGCACACCATAGAAAACGGAGCTAAATTGAAGATAAATTTTACATATGAAATTTGCCACAGTTTCTTAACTTTTATAGTAAGATACATAATTATTTATTACATGTAAATGAAAATTATAGATTGAGAATGGTTTCATTAAAATGTTTTATAAATCTAAATCAGCAGACGCTAGGATAAAACGGTGTAGCAAGTATATAAATTTAATATTATTACATAATATAATATTATCAAATTTTGGTTTGAGTGTTTTTTTTTTTTTTTTTTTTTTTTTTTTTTTTTTTTAAGTATTGTATTAATATTAATATCCATTTAATTTTGTTTTATTATGCTGGAAATACTAATCTTTTATAAATTTAATCTTTTGAAGCTAAAATCCTACTCACAAGGTATGCTCCCGAGATGACACACCCCGATTTCAATGAAAATTGGTGCACAACTTCTACTACCCTTTGGTACCCCAGAACGGTCATTAATTTTTGCCCAATTTTCCTTGTTTAATTTTTGCCATTTAAACTCCATGTAATTTGAATTACATTGGAGAAATCAGATGTAGGCAAATTATATACACAGAGGACGCTTTTGTTGCCTACATCTGATCGTTTTTAACATGCGTTTTAATGGAAACTACCCTCCCTTGTGAAATTGGGCAACTTTTGATAGCCATTCCAGAACACCCAAGGGTAGTGCAAGTTGCATACCAACTTTCAACAAAATCGGCGTGTGTCATCTCGGGAGCATACCTTGTCAGGCCTAAGCACGGAATTCTAATTTACTATTCAATCAGTCGCACGCGCAGTGCTTTTCTATCCATCTGTCCATGTCGCAAGTTGACTGTCAGCCGCGTGACAGCAGCTGATAAATTTTTTGTCATTGCTAACGAGCCGTGTGCCTTTTGTTTTTGCAGATGTGAGTAATAGTTGCGTGTTGGACAACAACACCTACATGCCGGGCGACACGTGGACGCGGCCTGGCTGTGTGGAATGTCTGTGCAAAGAGGGCGGACAGATTGTGTGCACGCATTCTCCACTGTGCGCGCCCCTCAACTGTCAAAACTCCATCAAAGTACCTGAAAGATGTTGTCCCACATGTCCATCAGGTAGGAATAGCTTTTAAATAATATTAAAATTTAATTAATTATACTACTTCAGAACATTTCTTACTATAATTATATTGATGAGTATTTAATTTATTTTAAATCTCTTAAAAAATATTTTTTAATCAACTTGTCGGATCAGAAAAAAAGTTAATATTTGCATTTTGAATTTTAAAAGGATTTTTTGCTTCATAAAATCTCAATAATGTAATTGTTATTTTACTTCTCTCAATGCCACTATAAATTTCTACAAATCATTAATATTTTTTAGGAGAGTAAAACGGCTTTACTCTCCTTTCATTAGTTTGTCATCTCAATTAAAATCCAAGCTCCAGGGCCTGGGGGTAGTTTTATTTCTTACACAGTACATTTGATTCTTCTTTTTAACCTGATAATGAATATCTAAAAATTTTTGCATAATATATTTCATAAACTAAAATTTTAAAATGGCCATCAACATATTCTTAAATTTATTAACATGAGAGGGGATCACTGAAATCATGTAATTTTCATAAATCAAGCTCTGCAATATGCTTAAGTGTAATTGGGTTCAAATATGATAGTTTTTTTTTCATTTCAAAAAGCGTAACCCTTTTTGAATAAATTCTTCCAAAATATTGATGATTATTAAATAAAACAAAATTGTATTACTTTATTCAGAAATAAAAATGCGTATTAAAAATAATTATTAAATATTTATTAATTGTGGTTTTTAATTGGAAAAAGAGATGAGAGAATAATAAAACAAATTTACTAAAAATATAGCATATTTACAAAGAAACCTTTTTCAATTCATACCTTACAAATTGTTGGTTGATTTTTGTTGCAGACCTGGAGTCGGGGCCGTCGAGCAACTACATGATGCGGTGGATCGTGCTGGGCACCGTGGCGGCGGTGGGTGTGCTGAGCTCGTTGGTGGCGTGTTGCATCTGGCGGGGCGGCAAGTGGGCCTACCTGCAGTCGTGGTGCTGCAACAGCAAGGTGCAGAGCCTCAAGGGTCCGTCGCCGACGCTCTTCTACAGCCCCGTGAAGCACCTGGAGCCGGCCGAGCACAACGGCACCCCCGGCGAGTACATGCAGGTGAACACGGAACACGACAGTTCGCACGTGTGAGTCCTTCCCTCCTTTTCCGCGCGAGAGAGCGAAAATTTTGATTTTCTGCGATTATTCTGTGATGATGACACGTGTGAGAGCGCCGAACATGCTACTTTTTCAACACGCATAACCCAACAAGACTTGATTAATTTATATAGTTCGTCTCTCTCCCTGACCGCGATAGAGACGCACACAATTTCGGAGCGAGTGAAATTGTTTTGAGAGAGAATGAGGAAAACAAAATTATAAACATGTACGTGCGGAAAACTGCTCTTCGTGAAACCGAGATGATGTGTATATTTTTTTTTTTCAATTAGTGCTCCTTGTCGTTGACTCGTTTTTGTTTTTTGTTAATTTATTATTTTTTTTACGTTGTTTGATTGCGATGCCCGCACTTGGAGATATTTGCGAAGAGAAATCACACAATTAGTGAAATATGACAAAACAAACAAATTACCAGATTTGTTGATTGGTGCCCCAATTACTTGCCATTATTTATCAATCTTTATCCCAACCGAGCAATGTAATTATTATTTTATTTTCTCTTCGACGAATTTCTTTTGGGTCGGCTCCGTTTGCTTGCTGATTGACTCGAGCCCCACTGCACTTGTTTTGTACAAGCACCATACACGATGGAATTTTTTTAAACAGGGGACCATGTTTCGGGACGCGCCGGAAGTATTGAGAGCCGTGGAAATTCGCTGATTTGTTCGTTGTTGCTTCTCACGGCCGGTGAAACGCGAAAAATGGCCTGTTGAGGAGGAGTGCTGAAGAAGTATTTCTGACTGATTGCTAGAGACGAGGATAAATAATTTATTAATGTTCGCGATGTGTACATATTCAAGTAAATTAACTTTTAAGCAGAGAAGCCGTCTTGTACATACAAAAAATAAAAATAAAAAAATCAATGTTATACTTGTTGCGAAATAAAAACGCGCCTATATTTGTGTGTCGACGTGAAAAATGGAGAAGTATGTGAAAAAAAAATAAATAAGTTAGAGCCAAGATGTTTGTAATAACACATGAAACACATCATTATTTTTTATAATATTTGGAAGAAATATTTGCGCCACTCTCATTCCATTGATTGATTGATCATATATTATGTATTACATAACATGCCATCAGCGAGTTTTATTGTTTCCCATTTGATAGATGTTTCATCGTCAGCAACACGCGCAGTTTTTTGTTTGTAGTTTTCCGTCTCATCAGTATTGTTTTAATGTGGTAATTGAAAATGCGAAACAATGATAGATTGATGTTGTTCAAAAATGAGGAACAAATCGACATGGATATTTTGATTTTTGATAGACAGACGCAACGCCGCTGTGTATAAAAATGTGTATTATCATCATTGCATGTAACAATGACTAAAAACACACGCACACACAACAATGATGGCGAGACATGTGTGAGGATTATACTTTACATTCATGTGATTTATCACGTACGATTATGAAAGCTAATCTGGAAAAATGATCTCTTGTCTAATTGTATTAACAAATTATTTTCCCGCGAGACGATTCAGAGAATTTTTGAGCTACGCCAGATACACAAATTTTTTTTTAATTTCTTTTTCGGTTGTAAGAAGAAAACGCGAAACACGCCTTTGGAGACGTCTGAGCCTCCGAAGCGGTTTTGATTCTCATTTTGGAAAATTACTGAAGGTATTATTTTTGTTTTGGTTGTTACGAAAGAGGCGTAGTTGCAACAGAAGCTTAACAGAAAGATGTATTGTTGTCCAAAAATAAAGGATGTGTACATTATTCAAAATGCATTTTTGTCTTTGAAAAATCAATATGAACACCACTTTTTAAATTTTTGACACACACGTCACACAAGGTTTTATTCACACCTTTTCCTCTATAATACACGATAGACTTTGAAACTAAAAGCTCATGTTTGTACAATTTTTAATCTTCATTGCAAAATTGAGATATAAGTCCATCCAAAAATTTCATGATTATACATTTCTCTACAAACATCCACAATAATTACATTTTATAATATTATTTGATTTATCATGATGTTAATTTTTTATTTTATAATATAGATCCCATTAAATAACACAAGAAATGGAAATAAGGGATAAATAAAACTGAACAAATTTTATAGGTCATACAAGTTTTTGACTAAAAAATTAAATTTTTACATTTGTGCATTGTCATGAAATTAATGCAAAATAATGTTTGTCTCAAAATTAGAATAAAATCAGATGACGTCACTACTAAAATACCGCAACCCGCAAAAGTCAGAGCTCTCCTTTTGTCTTTTATTAGTCCCAAATGAACCGCGCGCTGATGCATTATTTGTAAAAATAAACTTTTTCTCCGTCTTTCTTTCATCTGCCTACATAGAATCTGTCTAACCAGCACGCACACGTTTCTAAATATACACACGTCTATCGTGTGCATCTCACTTTTGAAATATTTCGCTCTTCCTCCAAATGCGCACGCTTAATTTAATTGTGTTATTGTATACGTGAATCGAATAGAGTTTGTTAGTGGATTTATCACAGCGGGTTTTCTTTCTGCTTCTCTCACGCGCGGCCTCCGTCGGAGATTCAAACCGGGTCCAAGCTGTCGGGGTCGGACAGAGTCACTGGCGAGTATGTCCTTAGCTTGGCGCCGCACCTGATGATGAACCAAAGCAACGGAATCAGCACAAAAAGACCGGCGAACGTCACACCGACCACCGGGATTTCTTTCTCGCCCACCACGATCGGCTTCGTCAGCGCTGCGGCAGCCGGATCTGCTGGGAAATGGTAAAGCATCAGTAAATTTTTATAATCCCATATATTGCAATGAGTAGAAACAAAGGAAAAAAAATCATTAAAATTGTTGAAATTGTTTTTAATTATTTTAAAATTAAATATTAATTTTAGTTTTTAATAATTATTTTGGATATTAAATTAGAAAATTTTATCGAAAAATGTCTTCTTATTGGAAAAATTCAAACTATTTTTAACAGGGATCAAAATGCGTATTAAAATTTGTACAGGAGTCGCGAGTTTTACTTTATAAAAAACTGAACAATTATACAGAATTTTTTTTTTTATATTGTATTGAGAATTGAGATTTTTTTATTAACAAACTTTAAACGTCAAATTTTTTGGGAAATCCATTTAAATTTTACAATTGTACTTAAAAACAGGAGAAGCAATAGTGTTTAAATTTATCTATTGGAATTTACCACAATCTTGGCAGCATTTTTCTGTGCGTCTTTTATCTGATGTGCAGTTTGTGCATTTTGTGGATTCGCAGTCCAGCTGGCTGTGATGACACACGCACTTTCTGCACTTCTCCTCGTCGCTCCATGCCTCGCCGTTGGCCAAGTGGTGTCCAGGTATGTCGCAGCCGTCAACAAAATCTGTCGGAAATTGATATTTATAAATAATTGGTTTAACACATGAAAATAATTTGTTATTTAAAAAAAAATTATATAGATTTTCTAACTAGTAAAATATTTTTTGCAGCTTTCGTATAATATCAAGACGTATAAAATATCTCATATGTATGAAATTCCCGAGACTGTATAACATTTTTTTTATGGTGTGCGTAAAAATGCCTGCCGTCTGACAAAAGGTCAAGCGCAGGTCGCACTGAAAGGACTCTTGTCACGTGTCAGATGTCTTATTTCTCTCTCCAGGTAGCCGCTCCGTCTTCACTCTCCTTGTGTGAAAATCACGCCAAAGAGTCGGTACGTGTGGTAGTGGCTGCGGCGTGATACAACGCATGCAATCTTTCGAGTATATCTGACAGCTCCATTCTCTCCTATTCACTCCTGGAGGAGAAATCCCGCTGGAATAACATCCTCGGCATATATAGAGGAGAATAAAGCGAGAACGATATTATTAAAACGAAGAGCTTCATACATATTGTCACCGTGCTCGACCAATGAAAAGAAGTGTACCGGCACGAACCGTCTCCATGTGGTCGACACATTTCATTTTTTTAGCCTCGATCATGCAAAATTGCACTTCATCTCGATGCAAATCATCGTTCGCCAGGGTGATGGACGAGTTTCACAACGAGCCTTATTTCCGAGAATTCTATCAAGATCTCGAGCTCTCAGCATCGTTAAATTATATAACAGGCTCAACGAGAGAAAAACGCTCGCTGCTCGTGCTCCCTCTAATTGACAACAGAAAAGGACGCATTGACAGCGAGCAGGATAAAAACATTTAGCGCCGCTGTCCCCGTGTCTGCTCTAGTGTCAAGTCAAGAGAGGCGAAGGATCGTGAGAGGGCCTTTGTTCCGGAATTAGTTAGATTCTCGCTCCATTTTACGCCCGTCAAGTGCGAGAGCATCCTAACGAGATTTTTTCAGTCATAGAAGCTTGCACGAATAAATTTATCATGAGACTTTAAAATAACGCATGTTATTAATCATTTAGTTTGCAGAGAGAGTCCTTAAACGATTCTCATAAGTATAAAGTGATACTCCATAATTATAAAATAAAAATAAAAACAACACAAGAGGCATTTTAATAAGATTTTACATTTTTATTTATTCACTTTCAAGACAATGCATTTAAAAATTTATATAACTTGTTTAGTAAAATTAATTTATTCACTGACATGGCGTTCTGCTTAGTAGTAAATAGTTTATTCAAAATTTTAAATATTTTATTATATTTATAATAAAGAAATAATTGTAAATTAAAAAATTTCTTGCAAATAAAAATAATAATATGATACAATTATTTTTACATAAAAATTTAAAGGATATTATAAGCATTTGTCTATAAATAAATGTTTATTGAACAATTGGAAGCTTGGAAAATTGCATTTAATGCAATGCACATTATGATGATAATTCTACGTTACTACAATGTAGTCATTTCATCGGAAAGAAATAATCTCCATTAGGCGCTTTCAGATTTGCACTCGTCGTCATTGGGAATGAAGTCAATAAAAGCGATCAAACGGTGTGTTTTCTCACAGGTGAAATGGCGCGAGGCGAAATCAGATCCGAGTCTGTGCGCATATTGCTTTTTATTTCACTGCCAAATTGAGTGCGCTGTTTTTTTTTACAGCTTCTATTTAATCTGATCCGAATCTCCCGAGTGCATTCTCGGCACTTTTGTTTTATTTCCGTTCCGCTGCTGCTGCGGATCTTCTCGCCAATAATGCGCGCGCGGCGGCGCTGCCTGCCGGCCAGGGGCGTATGCGGCTCACGTAAAATATCTATGGGTGACTCGGCAAACACCACGGACAGAAATATTGGTCGACGCCGAATGTTGTTATGTTATTCGCTAGCTCAACCTAATGGATCCGCATTTTTTCCTCGTACGTCTGCCGATCCGTCAGCGGATGGACGGAATTGCTAAACAGAGCAGCACAGACGCGTTTCTCATTTCCTCCTCCACGCATACAAAAATCGTGCGACGGAGCAGATACAGTGTGCGCCACCGTAGAGACCCAATCGGCATGATTTCCTGCTGCTTATTCATTTTTTTTTATATAAACAATGAAGCATTTGAGGAAAAGTTGGTCAAATTTTTTTTACTGGGAGAGTATAATTAATTTAAGTATACTCAAGTCAATAAAATTCAATTACATTTTTACTAAATTATTAAAAGGAAATCACTGTAGACTAAAATTATTATGATTTTTACATTGAACTTAATTAGCCTAAAGCAATTTAAAATTAAGTGTTAAAATCTCATTCCCAAAGTATTAAAATAAGTATTTAAAATTATTCAGAACAGTATTTTTGATAAATATTTTACATAATTATTTTGAATCTTTGAAAAAATTTATTCCAGAAAGGTTGAATTGAAGCTATATCAATTAGACTAAAATTTATATAATTTTTAAATTAATTGATTGAATTATTGTAAATAAACAGCTTTAAGTGTACATGAAATAGTCGTAGAGCTTCTAAATCAATTAAAACAATATTTGTTTCTGTTTCCAAAAGCATTATATTAAATTTTAGCAAATATTGATCTGATAATATATTGATAGCTTGTTAAAATTGCGTTGCAAAAGTCGGTGTTTATATTTTGCTTGATATATTGCTCGTCATTGACTTTTATTACAAAACGCGCGGCAACAGTTCATGCGAGTTACGCAAATAATGTGAAATAGGTTTCAAATAATTTTCATTTATCGAAGTGCTGACTTGTTAATAATTTTCACGACAACGGTTCATTAAATAATGATTTCTGCGTCAGATCGCCCAAAGCATTTATTTTTTAAATGAATTTTCCTCTGCAAAATTGGGGAATTCTTTAAATCAAGGTGAAAAATGCCGTTAGCCTTCACACCATTTGGCTATTTCGCCATTAAACTGAATATATGAGACTATTTTATCCCGCAGGTGCTGGTGGTGAACCGCTGGCCGTCGTTGGCATAGCTTTGGCTCACCTGCGAGTTTGAAGAGAGAAAAGTGAGTTTTCCGCTCGCCAACTCGGACGTTTTCACCGAGTGCAATTTATTCAGCTGAACGTGCACTGCTTCCCTAGGCACACAAAAAAAGGCTCGGGAGGAAATAAGAGAGGAGCAGCGCAACGTGAAATGCTCGCTTCCCGCCGAGTGTGTACGTTTTGCAGTTGGGAAATTATTATCGTGCTGTGACACACTGGAAATCAATTATTTTGCAGCCGCTGGCGTTCACGTATGTGCAATGCACGTACACACAGAATAGGGCGTTTCGCATTTGAATTTACGCGATTCCAGCTGTTGCATTTCGATGTTGAAACACCGGAGATAAAATAATTATTTCCCCTGTTATTCTGGAAATTGATCAATTGCAATTAAAATATTACTGGGCGGATTTAAACAAAGCAGGAAATACGTTCAGTTTAAAATACACTGCATACTGAATTGTATGTTAATAGTCTTCCACGTTCTGGAAGTTTCAATTTAGTCCAGGAAAATATTCAAAATATGTCGATAATTTGCTGGAAAATGTAGAAAAATTTGAGGTAGTATTTAATATTTTGTTATTATATTATTTTATTAACACTAAGATTGTTGTGGATTATTAACTTTTACATTTGCAAAAAATATTTGGAAAATAATGGTGATATTTTACAATTAAATATTTATGTAAAAAAATTTGCAGTTTCTGATCGACAGTGCTCATCTTTATTTGAATGAAATAAGCAACCATCAGATAGCACAAAATTTATCATCCCATTTAATAATTATGTTTTTATAATTTTAACAAGAAACAAGCAGACTCATTAAAATTCTGATGGGTTTTTCGGAAATTTCTCCAGAAAAATTTTATGCCACAGGGTTGCTTCGAATCATTTTAATTTTGCTAGACTTTAGGGAGCTGCTAACGTTTTGTATCTGTAAAAGCAGGCTTTGAATTTTTACGACAGCCCGTTATTATTTTTAATGCCCTGTTTAACAGTGAAAAATTCACGCGCAGAATTTGCAAAAAGGGCCTGTTTGCGGCCGAGCGAGATTACTTTTCATGGCGTGGAAATTCGGTCTTATCAAGGGTAGTTTTTGCGTCGCTACTTTTATTGCCCGGCGGAAATGAGCGGCGCCGAAGCAAAAAATTAATTCTGCAAAAGTGTGGCGGGAAATGGAAAAAAAGCGTCCCGTGTAATGTGACTCGAAATTTTTCCGCTTCCGCTGAATTGCGAGTGCGTGTTTTTGTAGTGATTTGATAAAGCAATTTATTGGCGTGTTAATGGACACCTTTGGCGTTGAAATAGTGATTTTCTGCTCGCAGGGGCTGCTATAATGTCCCTTATCGACGGCACCGACCTTGCTAATGCATCCGCAAAGGCCGGCTTTCCTCGCTGGCCGCTTTTTCCTCTCATTCTCATCCGGCCCGCCGTGTGTACGGTCAGAGCGCAAATAGCACCTCATTTGCTGACGTTTTCAAACCAGCCATCAGCACCCATTACCCACACACCGCTCTCAAACGGTGCGCGTTTGCCCTGGACGTAAATACTGGAGTATGTGAAACTCGCAATTGCCGCTTTTTCAACCACTCAGATTTGTTTTGCGGTCTCTGATTAAGTTTCCTTCAACCCACTCCTATGAAGCAATAAACAAAATCTTAAATCTGCAAAACAAATTATTAAATTTATTCACAAACTGCAATTAAATTTTTTTTAAACTCAATAATAATATATTTTATTTTATTTTATACCCTTGTAAATAACAGAAACACTTTTTTTTAATAATTTGACAAAATTAAATTACTTTTTGAACCCACCAAAGTTACATCAAAAGCCATTATTTTAATTAAATAACTAAAAATAATAATATTCTAATGTCAAAGTTTTTATGTTTCCTCAAATCACGCAATACCTATTTAGATATTTTGATGTGTAAATAATATAAAAAGAAATTTTTAACAGCAACTGATGCATTCAATTTTTAACAAAATTGAAAG